TTTTTTTCTTTTATAGGAATGTAATTCTGCAAAAAAGGAAATAGATTTGTAATGTTTTGCTTCCATTGTTTTAATTTCTTCCCTCATGATTGCGTTTGTAATTGATTAGATCAATGACTGAGCCAAAGACGACAGGTAAGAAAATTGCTACATAAAATATTACATTTTATTAATTATTTAAGTAAATTATGAAAACACTACAGTTAGAATTTATTCTACCAGATGGGGCTACTCATAAGTAATTTTGGAAGCCGTGTTATTAATTATAAACGTCGTTAATTTAGAAACACTAAAGAACAAAGCGGCAATAGAATTTGTTCATAAATATAAAACAAAAAAATTACGTCTAACCTTCACACTGTTGATTTTAATTATTTATTTTTGTATAATTAAAAATATGTATATTCTAAAACAGTTTTCAAGTAAGAAATTTTAATTCTTTGGATAATTCATAGAAACATCATTAAAAAAAGGAGGGCGTCGATAGGATTTCATTTAATCATCCGCATCATCATCCAATTTAAACGGCAAGGTCATATCAGAGATGAGTTTTTCTGGATGGATCGAAGATCCTACAAATTCCTGCGTAAAAATCAACTCGTTTATATCTCCCTTCCTCTCTCTCTCTCCTTAGGAAAACTCTTTTCCTGTAGTTGAGGCAGGTTTGCAGTGAAACCACTCCTGTCCGTGTTTCACTTTGAAGATTTGGTGTTACTAAAAATAAGACGAGATTTTGTGCTATTCTGGGATCCAAACAAATTAAGTCGAAGCATTTGATTTTTAAAAGGGGAACTTCCAGGAATTTTTAAACTGATATTTTAAGATTTGGATCATAAGCGGGAGGAGAATCAAAAATACGTAATAAAAAAAAATAAGAGATAAAGTTGTTCGAAAATTGTAACGTTCAAATGACGACAGTCGAGTTTATATAAGTTGTTTTTTTATAGATTGATGGCTTATTAACCTTGGTAATGTTTAATTGAATTTTTACTTTTTTTTCTAAAACGTAATGGATTACGACATGTCATCATCTTCGTCATCAATTTCCGATGACGTGCCTTATTTAGGTTATCGGTCTCTATGATAAATTGTTAATTTGTTTTGTTGAGAGTTCCTCTGTCCATTTGGAAAGCTCTTAATCAAACGTACAACAGTATAAATATCAGTTTATCGTTCAGTGTACAAATATCCAGTTCAGTATATAAATATCAGTAAAAATACCGTTTATATTTATGCTATATGACACAATAAAGGAAAATGGTGTATAGTAGGAATCTGTAATTAAATAGTCCTGTATACGCAACACGTTTTTCTGTCGTTTATAAATTTTTAGAGGAGTTACGTTTGGGTTGAGAGTTTTAGCCAAGTTAAATGTGTGTATTAATTATTAATGGAGGGGAGGAAGTTTTGCGCAGTACTTTGGCTAATCTTTGCATCAGCCAAGCTGCCTGTGTCAAGGTTTATAGATCAGACGAATAAAACGGGTAAACAGTTAGGCGATTTTTTCGGCTGGTGTGGCAAAATAATCTCAAAAGTTCTATTTATAAAAGTGGCGGCGCTGTCGTCGGGTTGGCTTCGTACTCTATAAGCTTGGCCTTCCGCTAGCGACTCGCAGTTCATCCTGGCAGCCTTCGCCATGAAAAAAGTCGTTTTCCTTCAATTTTACTTCCGCCACGTCTCGATTTGAGTGATAAGGATCGTATTTTCAATCAAAACAATGGAAATCGACAGGGGCACGGACGTGCATTTTGTCTTCCCTTGCCGGAAGGGTAAGTTGTCATTGCTGCTGGTCTGTCCGCTTTCGTAACCGCTGAGTTTTGAATTTCGTTCCTTAAGTTAATTATGCTAATTACAATTTACCAAACCGATATCTGTGGTAAGGAGCATAAAGTTAACACCGAGGAAGTTTGCTTGCTTAAAAAAATATTTTGCTAGTGTTTTGATTGCTGTTCGGTTTTGCACGAGTTTATAACGACGTTTAGTAGGTTATAACGAAAGCTGATAGTTGTTAATAAGAAAAAATCTTGTTTTATAATGGTTAAAATGTGACGAAACAGTATAGAAATGAACTCGCATACCACTTAAAAATCTTATTCACCTGTTAATTTTGACGACTCATTTCTCTCGTTAATGAGCTGAGTTATTAAAACTAATTAGTTTATTTATTATACATATATACAGAATCCGCACAGACGTTGACCCGGGTTGTGTGTGTTGGCGTCACACACTGAGTGAATTGTCTTGCAAAATCCACTATTGTTTTTTTTATATTGGCGTTTTTTTTCTTTTATTGTAGTTTATTTTTCTCGACATCTGTCAAAAGGGAGACTTTTCTCCCTAACCGGGAGAGCATCTGTGTTTGTCGAGTGTCTAGTCGAGTTCTTAGGAGACGAATGATCTATGTATTTATCGATTTCTGTAGACTTGTGCCAAAATACTTATTATGGAATGGACCGGCAATGACGTCATAAAGCTCGTCACCGATTCTGACGTCATTGAAAGGAGGTTGAACGTCGTACGTAGGCGGTATTTTGGATCGACCGGTGTCTGCGTGCGATCTATACATAGCTGTAATGACGTCAAACACTCGCTCATTAAGATGTTGGGAGCTGTAGATAATACTATCTTTTGTGTTCCACTTGCCAGCTTTGAACACAACTGAATGAAAATAGTAAGAGTATAGTAAATAGCGCGCGCACTTTGACATCGCTTTGTCGCCTTCATTGAGTCATACTTTTTACATTTGGTTATATATAACTTTGATTTGTTATCCATCAACGACCGGAATCCAGAACTTATCGTTGTCGTTTGATAAAATTTATGTCTCCTTTTCCTCTCTTCCTGGTTTCTCCACGCTACACATTCCTCTTTCAAATCTGGAGATGTATTCGTAAATTTATTTTATGCCCTCCTCCACGAAATTTATCGCTTCAAAGTATGATTCTTAAGTGGATTAAAGTCGGAAAATGATCTAATTAATTTCTGTACAAAAAAAATGAAATCATTTGACATTTACAAGACTTCGTGGAGTGAAGCCATCTTTTCTATTGTGAAAAACAGTTATTTTAATCTGATTAAACGCCATTATCTTAGTTTTGTGGATCTGAAATCCGCGTTGAGATTTAAATCCTGAGAAACACATTCGTCTGCCATATCACGTACCGTAATGGAAGGATATTTTCTATAAATACATTCAAGGTCTCGTAGTTCATGAATAGTTTTTTTCCCCCTAATTGGTATGTCTATTTTTAAGGAACGAGTTGGTCTGTTGTTAGATGCGACTATTACGGTTCGGATGGAAGATATTTATTCACTTCATCCTATTTAAATACGCCGTAACGACGAGACGTTTCGGCTTTGATCATTGGTAAGGATGGAATCCTTATCAATTGTTAAATATAATTAAATAAATAAATAAAAAATTTGCTCGTACTTTAACCATTATCGAGTAGGAGGCCCGTAAATCCGTTTAGTCGCACGTACCGAATGTTATCGAATTGTTTCAATTATACGTTAATTTATTCTCATTGTTTTCACGCCTTCTACGTAATTCATTTTAATGAATGAATAGTGAATGAACACGTTGATAAATCAACGTGTTCATTCACTATAACGGGTCTTAAAATAGGAAGAAAAAGTCAATTAATGTGCGTTGTGCTAACTGTAAGAGTTTGGTTTTTATGTTTATAATTACCTTCGTTAAAGTTCAATGCTTGTAATTAATGACGGTTTTTTGGGTAATAAAATCCTGTTTTACTGTCTTATTAAATTTGAAAAAAGGTTTTATTTATTGCGCCAAAAAATCGTATCAACTGAATAGATTATCGTATTACATTAATTTACTACAAGTTGAATAAGTGTATCTGTAAAATTTTAGATATTGACAGTTTCACTGATTAAATGTTTTTAAGTATATTTTATGTATGAATTGTTTATTAAATGCATTTTATTGAGTTGTATAAACCTTATTTTTTGTTGTTTTCTTTTTAAACAGAAAATTTGAATTCGCATAATAGTATGGAAATTAATGCTCGATATTCGCAACTTCAAAGAACAGGTAAATTTTTTCTTTGTTTTCAGAAAATTAAATCGCAAATTCTGCTCAGTAATTTCTATATAATTTTTAACGTAACGAAATATGTCTCAGCCTTACTGCGGATGTAATATTATACTCTGGAAAATTAAATTCGCTTTCCTCTTTCGTAAGATAATTGATTTTTCAGAATTAGTCATATTTAATTACCAGCTTGCAGATCGTATAAGAGGATTCGACTTTCAGTTGACCTCTTCTAGCCGACATTAAAAAGGGATTAATTTATAGATTTAGGATCCGCTTATGACGGAGCTACCATTATCGACGGAGATATGACGAATAGCATAAATCCGGCGCTACAGGAACAGCATTTGAAATTCCAACAGCAGCTGCTACAATTGAAACAACAACAACAATTGCAGCAGCAACTCCTCCTACAGCACTTCCATCAACAACAACAACAACTAGCCGAGCATCACGAGAAACAAATGCAGGAGAGAATAAAAGTGATTGCTTACATATATAATAAAATTTTATGAAAATAAGATGAAAATTCATTATTTATATACATTTATATATCCTTATTTAGGAATACCTAGAACATCAAAAGAGATTGGAAGAAGAGCAGAAAATTGAAAAAGAACGTAGAGATAAGGAGAGAATCGAACAGTTGAAGAAAAAGGAGAAACACGAGCAGAGTATGTGGCTGATTTCGTTTTATTTAAAAGTTACCATTTAGTTAGTTTTCAATGTGATTTATCAGAGTACATTATTGTTTCTCCCTGATCTAGGTGCAATTGCGTCTTCCGAAGTTAAACAGAAATTACAAGAGTTTGTTCTGAATAAAAAGCATAGGGAAGCTGCTGCTAATTCAGCCAATTCTCCAACCACTTTAAGAAATTGGTAAGTTAATAATCAAAAGATTTAGTGCACTTATTTATTGGGGAGAACTGTTTTGAATTCTTTTTTATGCATTTTCTTTATTTATTCTAACGTATTTTGTATTAATCTTTTTTTAGGGGAAAGTGTTTGCAAAATGTCGAATTAATATTAAATAAAAGTAACGAGAAAAAAGTACAAATTCGATATTTTGTAATCTTTCGGTTCGAAAACGTCATTATGAAAGTAGTAATAATAATGAAAGGGGGAGAAAGACTCGTAATTCACTGTTTCTAAATCTGTCACGTCAACTGCCAATGTTGTCACGCAAACTCGACCTTGGATTACCAAGGTGAATACGTGGGCGTCTTACATTGCGTGATCAACATTACTTTTACTGTAGCTAGGATGTAGACGGAAAAACTACATATATATATTTTTTTAATTTTAAATTTGCTAATAATAAAAATTTTTTAATGTATAACTTCTAATACTTGTATTTTCTTCTCTGCACTAGGCATCCCTTGTTGGGTAAATACGAAGATGATTTTCCTCCATTAAGAAAAACTGGTAAGTTCAGAGAGAAAACAAACGAACGCAAACAAAATTAGGCTTTTAAAAATAATATTAAATACTTATGTATATTAAAACTATAGTTCTGTTTTTAATGGTAAAACAGCATTTTGAGTTAGCTTGAATTTGTTTTGTCTCCCCTAGGCTATTAACACTAACAATTTAAAGCATGAAAGTGGTTTTTTAAGAGTGTGTTTTTTCATTTATAATTTAAATATTGTTTTGTGTTGATTAACTTTGCTAGTAACAGAGAATGTGCTTGCACTGTGTTCTGTTGGTCTATTGTCTAGCTTCCGAACCGAATCTTAAAGTGAGATCTGTGCTGAAACAGAAGGTATACGACAGAAGAAGCAGTCCCTTACTGCGCCGAAAGGATCACAAAGTATCGCTTCCGCTGAAGAGGAGACCAATAACAAGTATGGCTGACAGTAGCATGTTTTCTACATACCATAGTTAACAAAAATTATTGGTTTGATAATTTTATATACCGAGGGCATTCTGTTATGCATTACAATAATATATATATATGTATGTATATATATATATTACATATATATTTTTAATATGACTGAAGCATGTGCACGAAATAGAAAGAGGAGAAAGTTTGTCCTGATCGATGCGCTGTTTTAGCGTTATTTTTTTAAAAAAAATTAAAAAGTATTAACTGAATGTAGTTAAGGATTTGTCAAACACGACCGTTAACATGTTTTAAAGATAGTGTATATAGTTTAGTTCCGTTTTCTTCTAAAACTCAGTCGTAAACTGATTATATTCCGCTCTTGGAATGGAAAATAAATAGTCCAAGGTCGACGTTTTGGTACTATTCGCCCCATTGTTTTGCTTTGTATACCTAAGAGGAGGATTTTACTTTTTTTTTTTCTTTTAATTAAATATTTACTTACTTATTTTTTCTAATAAAAGTAATGATTTCGGATTGGAAACTTATTAAAAATTATTATTTTACAATTTTAAAGCCAGATTTTTATTGCCATCATAAAGCTTTTTAAAATATATAACTGGCTTTTTTTAAAAAAATTTATTCCATTCTCTTAATTGAAATTTAATTAAAACATTAGTTTAGTATTGAATGCTTAATATTCTTTACTTCTAGTTGACGGCTCGAGTTGTACCAATGAAAATAGTCCAGATTCTCCCCCTAATGGGGCAAATATACATTCTATACACACTAACAGTGGCACTACGTCTATTCAAGAGGTAAGTCTTAAAATAAAAAAAAAAAATATTCTTTCACACAGTACTTAGTTTTAAAAGCTGAATAAAAAGTTTTTAAGAAAGCGTAACGTATATATAGATATACATGATAGAAAGAAAACAAGCCATTGCATCTTCACCATCTGGGTCGGATAGGGACGTGTGAATGCCAGAACAATTTGGGAATGTTTATATTTGGAGAAGTGTGCTAAGTTTAGAATCTGGGCTGAGAGTTACACTACCGTTCGAAAGGAAGTAGGAGTTGGTTGTGTCGACCCCTTTTTATCCCCTTTACTCTGAAGAAGCTGTCAACGTACCAAGCTCTGTAAGCTGATGGACAGACTTTCTATTTATAGACCACGATCAAAAATTTATCCAGGTTTTACGTCGGTTCCGACTAAGCAAAACCTTTTATAGTTTATTCTGTGTTATTATTAGATGATTGGTAATTGGCCTTTATGCGAACAATTTTTTTTTTAAATTAAGAAATTCGTTTCTTTATTTTATGGTTTTCAATATAAATATACTTATGAAACTACTACTATTTCCCCCCTAAATTTTCGTTCACATTACGATATTTTTGCTATTGTTTAATTATAGGATTTTATAATGACGGTGGTATAGAATGACTTGATTTAGTTTTTGACATTGAAATCTGAATGGGTCTCAGTCCAGATTTTGTCGGAGAGTTGGGTTTTCTGATAATTGATAAATTATTTAAATACCTGTTTTTAATTAAAATTGATACAAATTCCTTTAAATTTCTTACGTTGTTTTTCTAAAAAAATGTATGTTTTACACATTAACGTAATTAAATGTAAGTTTTTAAAAGTGAATTATAAGTTTTCGAATTTTCAAATTTCTGAGTAAATAAATGAATATTTTAAAATTTTCCACAATGTTTTTCACACAAAGCTTTAAATTTTCGTCACTCTTACTCAAAATTTTTATATTTGAATGTACGATTTTGTATTGTTGCTTAACTGATAATGGCTTTTTTTATTATTATTATTTTAGAAGCCTGGCACATCTCCATTTCATTCTTTAACGGGACAGGGAAGTGTCAGCGATCTCACTTTGTATTCTTCCCCATCAATGCCAAATATTTCTCTGGGAAGACCCCCAGTTCATAATTCAGCTGTAAGTGTTTTAGTATTAAAATTTTACTAGAATATAGAAATATTTTCTTTAACGACAATCAATAACGTATTTAANATTCTGTTTTACAAGACATTTTAATTCAATTAATAAAAAGCTTAGATCTTAAATCGATTTTGAAGTAGAATTACATATCTAGAAAATTAATGATGATTATAAATTTAACTTTCGTTACTAGTCAATATTAAGCAATAATACAATTTTAATATTAGAAAACGAAGAGGTTATTTTCATAATATTGCAAGTAGTTAAAAAATTAGAGGAAAAATTTATTGATTTTGTTTTTTCTTTTACTTGAAATAATTGAATTTTTTTCCTCTGCATTTGGACGTTAGAGTACGTTCCTTATATATAAAAAACCATAGGAAAGATAGCAAAAAAATTGCCAAATGATATTTTTTATGATAAATTAATCACTTTTATGTTTTTCCAACTTTCGATGCATATAAATTTACATAACTTTAATTAAATTCTCTTGTCATATTCTTGCACAGAACTTACCATTTCTCCCTTTTAAATTTTTATTATAATTAATGTGCTAAATGGCTTGTTTTTTTACACACATTGTTGTTTCTCGTAGATAACCTCCCATCTAACACTTACGACTCTTTAAAGTTGCTCTCTAGGGTAAATACTAGCTCATTTTGAGATTCAAAGTATGTTGAACTATAAAATAAAATGGTTTAATAATCTACCTATGTTTTAAGCAAAAAATGTTAATGTTAGCGTAAGAATTTTATTAAGAATAATGAAGGAAATACCGAAAAAATGCTGTTAAATTTACGATTAATTTCTGGGTTATTGAACAGAGATTATTACTAATAAATAAATTAAACTTTTTACTTATTCGAAAGGTCTAAGCCCAATTTAAACGAAATTTTCTATCGTTAAACCTCCAAAAGAGTTTTATTACATAATCGCTCAAACTTAAATTATTCCCATCTTTTCTGCGATTTTCAATTTTACAAATTAATCTTATATTAATTAATTATTCTATCGAAGCTATAATTATTAAAATTAAAATGGGTCATTATTTTCGAATGTATTCTTAAACTTTAAAACATTAGTCGATTAAATTTTATGGATTTTTTAAAAAGTAAATGGACGATAATGTACTTAATTTGTCTATCCGTTCCCTTCCAATTACGTACAGTACAGTACATTTAAAAGGTGGAATGCGACACGAAACTTCTTAAACAATTGAAAAATTATGCTTACGATTATTGACCATTTCTCTCTTTTCTGTTATCTAAATATGGAAATTATATAGGAGTATAAAATATCAAAATGTTATCAAAAATTCATGAAATATTGAAGTTTATTTGAATAATTCATATTAAAATTCAGATTTTTTGCCTTTCAAATTAAAATCTAGAAATTTAATTCATACTATCGACGTTTATAAGATAGTAATTTATAAATTAAGTTAATTATCTGTTAAATTTATAATATTAAATAATCTAATGTTTTGATGTTTTGTGTGTGTGTGTGTGTGATTAGTGTTTTTAAATACTTTTTATTGACTCCAGCTGCGACTAAATGTTAGAAGTAGACTGCTACTATAAAGGTTTTTATTAAAATCACGCATCATTAATATTTTCTAAGAAGAGAAAACGATCGCCTCAATAGAAACACTTACTTAAGAAGAGTTACAAAGAATAAATCTGAATCACGTCAGATTGCGTAATGGCAGCTTCTACTCCGTGCATGATGGTAATCTAAAAACGGTTAAATTGTTGAAAATAAATACAAAAATGGAGGGGAAGTTTAAAAAATTAAATAAATTTTATCTAAAGAGATGGAGAACGACAAGACGCTCCTTATTCTGGACATTTTTGGGGTATTTTTGGGTACTTGCCATTGTATAGAGTCGACGTTGCACAATAAAATGTAATGCCAAAGTGTCATAGTTGTTCTGAGAAATTAAGCGGTAATGCATTTGAATGTTAACTGCAGAACCCTTCTTTAAGATCTGGCTTTTTCGTATAGAAGAGATTTAAATAAACGCTTAAATGAATGTAAAAACCTTAAAAAAAGTAACCTTTTTCGAGACGAAGGTGGTCTATAATTAAATCAATTAAGAAAAGTTACAAAGTGGATCCATTAACGACGTAAACACGCTCTTACATCGATGCAAGATTGACTGTCATAGATACAACTTCGCATGTCTCGTAGTAGTGAATATCTCATTTCGCGCTAACTGACTGCTAATGAACATAAGTTGCCATCTGGTTTTGCCAGAACTTCGAAATCACGTTACATATATTTTTTCTCTTCTCTGTTTCTCTTGTTATGTTTTCCTTCTCTTCGGCGGTGACGTCACAGCACGTGTCTTTCCGTCATAGAACTAGCGACACCTGACCCCCAGAAGTGTTTTAAAAGAGCCACTTGTTTGAACAAAGATCGTCTGTTTGAATCTTTGGAAGTAGGCTTTGCGTCATTAAGTACTACTGGAAGTGACTGTTGAATGATGTTCTGTGTCTGAAGCCGTTCGCGAAGATTCAGGTGGCTTCTAGCGCCGTTTTCAAAACATTTGGCTCTCACTATATCAAATGCCTCAAAATACTTTTTTTTATTAAAGAAAAAAAAACAGTTTGAACGGATCGATTAAGTTTATTTAATCGAAAAAATATCATCTTCGGGAGCGAGTATTGTTTTTTCATTTGTTATAAAATAAAACATTATTTACTAATTTATTTACAATTATATTTATCGAATTGTATTAATTTTTAAGTATAAATATTAAATACTTGATAATGATTTTTAATTATTTATTTTTATTTTTTTTCCTTTACTAGAATTTAATGTCATTTTTTAATTTTTTTCTTTTATAGGAATGTAATTCTGCAAAAAAGGAAATAGATTTGTAATGTTTTGCTTCCATTGTTTTAATTTCTTCCCTCATGATTGCGTTTGTAATTGATTAGATCAATGACTGAGCCAAAGACGACAGGTAAGAAAATTGCTACATAAAATATTACATTTTATTAATTATTTAAGTAAATTATGAAAACACTACAGTTAGAATTTATTCTACCAGATGGGGCTACTCATAAGTAATTTTGGAAGCCGTGTTATTAATTATAAACGTCGTTAATTTAGAAACACTAAAGAACAAAGCGGCAATAGAATTTGTTCATAAATATAAAACAAAAAAATTACGTCTAACCTTCACACTGTTGATTTTAATTATTTATTTTTGTATAATTAAAAATATGTATATTCTAAAACAGTTTTCAAGTAAGAAATTTTAATTCTTTGGATAATTCATAGAAACATCATTAAAAAAAGGAGGGCGTCGATAGGATTTCATTTAATCATCCGCATCATCATCCAATTTAAACGGCAAGGTCATATCAGAGATGAGTTTTTCTGGATGGATCGAAGATCCTACAAATTCCTGCGTAAAAATCAACTCGTTTATATCTCCCTTCCTCTCTCTCTCTCCTTAGGAAAACTCTTTTCCTGTAGTTGAGGCAGGTTTGCAGTGAAACCACTCCTGTCCGTGTTTCACTTTGAAGATTTGGTGTTACTAAAAATAAGACGAGATTTTGTGCTATTCTGGGATCCAAACAAATTAAGTCGAAGCATTTGATTTTTAAAAGGGGAACTTCCAGGAATTTTTAAACTGATATTTTAAGATTTGGATCATAAGCGGGAGGAGAATCAAAAATACGTAATAAAAAAAAATAAGAGATAAAGTTGTTCGAAAATTGTAACGTTCAAATGACGACAGTCGAGTTTATATAAGTTGTTTTTTTATAGATTGATGGCTTATTAACCTTGGTAATGTTTAATTGAATTTTTACTTTTTTTTCTAAAACGTAATGGATTACGACATGTCATCATCTTCGTCATCAATTTCCGATGACGTGCCTTATTTAGGTTATCGGTCTCTATGATAAATTGTTAATTTGTTTTGTTGAGAGTTCCTCTGTCCATTTGGAAAGCTCTTAATCAAACGTACAACAGTATAAATATCAGTTTATCGTTCAGTGTACAAATATCCAGTTCAGTATATAAATATCAGTAAAAATACCGTTTATATTTATGCTATATGACACAATAAAGGAAAATGGTGTATAGTAGGAATCTGTAATTAAATAGTCCTGTATACGCAACACGTTTTTCTGTCGTTTATAAATTTTTAGAGGAGTTACGTTTGGGTTGAGAGTTTTAGCCAAGTTAAATGTGTGTATTAATTATTAATGGAGGGGAGGAAGTTTTGCGCAGTACTTTGGCTAATCTTTGCATCAGCCAAGCTGCCTGTGTCAAGGTTTATAGATCAGACGAATAAAACGGGTAAACAGTTAGGCGATTTTTTCGGCTGGTGTGGCAAAATAATCTCAAAAGTTCTATTTATAAAAGTGGCGGCGCTGTCGTCGGGTTGGCTTCGTACTCTATAAGCTTGGCCTTCCGCTAGCGACTCGCAGTTCATCCTGGCAGCCTTCGCCATGAAAAAAGTCGTTTTCCTTCAATTTTACTTCCGCCACGTCTCGATTTGAGTGATAAGGATCGTATTTTCAATCAAAACAATGGAAATCGACAGGGGCACGGACGTGCATTTTGTCTTCCCTTGCCGGAAGGGTAAGTTGTCATTGCTGCTGGTCTGTCCGCTTTCGTAACCGCTGAGTTTTGAATTTCGTTCCTTAAGTTAATTATGCTAATTACAATTTACCAAACCGATATCTGTGGTAAGGAGCATAAAGTTAACACCGAGGAAGTTTGCTTGCTTAAAAAAATATTTTGCTAGTGTTTTGATTGCTGTTCGGTTTTGCACGAGTTTATAACGACGTTTAGTAGGTTATAACGAAAGCTGATAGTTGTTAATAAGAAAAAATCTTGTTTTATAATGGTTAAAATGTGACGAAACAGTATAGAAATGAACTCGCATACCACTTAAAAATCTTATTCACCTGTTAATTTTGACGACTCATTTCTCTCGTTAATGAGCTGAGTTATTAAAACTAATTAGTTTATTTATTATACATATATACAGAATCCGCACAGACGTTGACCCGGGTTGTGTGTGTTGGCGTCACACACTGAGTGAATTGTCTTGCAAAATCCACTATTGTTTTTTTTATATTGGCGTTTTTTTTCTTTTATTGTAGTTTATTTTTCTCGACATCTGTCAAAAGGGAGACTTTTCTCCCTAACCGGGAGAGCATCTGTGTTTGTCGAGTGTCTAGTCGAGTTCTTAGGAGACGAATGATCTATGTATTTATCGATTTCTGTAGACTTGTGCCAAAATACTTATTATGGAATGGACCGGCAATGACGTCATAAAGCTCGTCACCGATTCTGACGTCATTGAAAGGAGGTTGAACGTCGTACGTAGGCGGTATTTTGGATCGACCGGTGTCTGCGTGCGATCTATACATAGCTGTAATGACGTCAAACACTCGCTCATTAAGATGTTGGGAGCTGTAGATAATACTATCTTTTGTGTTCCACTTGCCAGCTTTGAACACAACTGAATGAAAATAGTAAGAGTATAGTAAATAGCGCGCGCACTTTGACATCGCTTTGTCGCCTTCATTGAGTCATACTTTTTACATTTGGTTATATATAACTTTGATTTGTTATCCATCAACGACCGGAATCCAGAACTTATCGTTGTCGTTTGATAAAATTTATGTCTCCTTTTCCTCTCTTCCTGGTTTCTCCACGCTACACATTCCTCTTTCAAATCTGGAGATGTATTCGTAAATTTATTTTATGCCCTCCTCCACGAAATTTATCGCTTCAAAGTATGATTCTTAAGTGGATTAAAGTCGGAAAATGATCTAATTAATTTCTGTACAAAAAAAATGAAATCATTTGACATTTACAAGACTTCGTGGAGTGAAGCCATCTTTTCTATTGTGAAAAACAGTTATTTTAATCTGATTAAACGCCATTATCTTAGTTTTGTGGATCTGAAATCCGCGTTGAGATTTAAATCCTGAGAAACACATTCGTCTGCCATATCACGTACCGTAATGGAAGGATATTTTCTATAAATACATTCAAGGTCTCGTAGTTCATGAATAGTTTTTTTCCCCCTAATTGGTATGTCTATTTTTAAGGAACGAGTTGGTCTGTTGTTAGATGCGACTATTACGGTTCGGATGGAAGATATTTATTCACTTCATCCTATTTAAATACGCCGTAACGACGAGACGTTTCGGCTTTGATCATTGGTAAGGATGGAATCCTTATCAATTGTTAAATATAATTAAATAAATAAATAAAAAATTTGCTCGTACTTTAACCATTATCGAGTAGGAGGCCCGTAAATCCGTTTAGTCGCACGTACCGAATGTTATCGAATTGTTTCAATTATACGTTAATTTATTCTCATTGTTTTCACGCCTTCTACGTAATTCATTTTAATGAATGAATAGTGAATGAACACGTTGATAAATCAACGTGTTCATTCACTATAACGGGTCTTAAAATAGGAAGAAAAAGTCAATTAATGTGCGTTGTGCTAACTGTAAGAGTTTGGTTTTTATGTTTATAATTACCTTCGTTAAAGTTCAATGCTTGTAATTAATGACGGTTTTTTGGGTAATAAAATCCTGTTTTACTGTCTTATTAAATTTGAAAAAAGGTTTTATTTATTGCGCCAAAAAATCGTATCAACTGAATAGATTATCGTATTACATTAATTTACTACAAGTTGAATAAGTGTATCTGTAAAATTTTAGATATTGACAGTTTCACTGATTAAATGTTTTTAAGTATATTTTATGTATGAATTGTTTATTAAATGCATTTTATTGAGTTGTATAAACCTTATTTTTTGTTGTTTTCTTTTTAAACAGAAAATTTGAATTCGCATAATAGTATGGAAATTAATGCTCGATATTCGCAACTTCAAAGAACAGGTAAATTTTTTCTTTGTTTTCAGAAAATTAAATCGCAAATTCTGCTCAGTAATTTCTATATAATTTTTAACGTAACGAAATATGTCTCAGCCTTACTGCGGATGTAATATTATACTCTGGAAAATTAAATTCGCTTTCCTCTTTCGTAAGATAATTGATTTTTCAGAATTAGTCATATTTAATTACCAGCTTGCAGATCGTATAAGAGGATTCGACTTTCAGTTGACCTCTTCTAGCCGACATTAAAAAGGGATTAATTTATAGATTTAGGATCCGCTTATGACGGAGCTACCATTATCGACGGAGATATGACGAATAGCATAAATCCGGCGCTACAGGAACAGCATTTGAAATTCCAACAGCAGCTGCTACAATTGAAACAACAACAACAATTGCAGCAGCAACTCCTCCTACAGCACTTCCATCAACAACAACAACAACTAGCCGAGCATCACGAGAAACAAATGCAGGAGAGAATAAAAGTGATTGCTTACATATATAATAAAATTTTATGAAAATAAGATGAAAATTCATTATTTATATACATTTATATATCCTTATTTAGGAATACCTAGAACATCAAAAGAGATTGGAAGAAGAGCAGAAAATTGAAAAAGAACGTAGAGATAAGGAGAGAATCGAACAGTTGAAGAAAAAGGAGAAACACGAGCAGAGTATGTGGCTGATTTCGTTTTATTTAAAAGTTACCATTTAGTTAGTTTTCAATGTGATTTATCAGAGTACATTATTGTTTCTCCCTGATCTAGGTGCAATTGCGTCTTCCGAAGTTAAACAGAAATTACAAGAGTTTGTTCTGAATAAAAAGCATAGGGAAGCTGCTGCTAATTCAGCCAATTCTCCAACCACTTTAAGAAATTGGTAAGTTAATAATCAAAAGATTTAGTGCACTTATTTATTGGGGAGAACTTTTTTGAATTCTTTTTTATGCATTTTCTTTATTTATTCTAACGTATTTTGTATTAATCTTTTTTTAGGGGAAAGTGTTTGCAAAATGTCGAATTAATATTAAATAAAAGTAACGAGAAAAAAGTACAAATTCGATATTTTGTAATCTTTCGGTTCGAAAACGTCATTATGAAAGTAGTAATAATAATGAAAGGGGGAGAAAGACTCGTAATTCACTGTTTCTAAATCTGTCACGTCAACTGCCAATGTTGTCACGCAAACTCGACCTTGGATTACCAAGGTGAATACGTGGGCGTCTTACATTGCGTGATCAACATTACTTTTACTGTAGCTAGGATGTAGACGGAAAAACTACATATATATATTTTTTGTTAAAATGATTTATTCTTGATGGATTTTTGTTTATACAAAGATGAAGTTATTAAAAATTTGAAAAACTTGTCAATTAAACTATATTAGAATTGTAATTTTAAGAATCAGATTTTATTTTACATAGTAGAAAACTTCATCAATCAATGATAAAGTTACAGAAAGATCTCAATAATGTACAATTTTGAACTTAGAAATAGTTTTACTAAATAGATAGATATTAGAATTATGGATATACAGTCGAATATAGTGTCATCACTAGTTTACTTTGTTTAGCTCTGAAATTGGCAGTAATTGTGGTGCCTAACTGAAACTTCAATCAATAAGAATTATGTATAGTAATTTAATCCATACATAAGTTTGTGTTTGAAAGTTGTTATTTGGTGATAACAATGTTGTTTTACAATACAACTAATTCACAGATACTGAAGGGTCCTTCATTTAATATTTAAGAGGAAGATCAGTTTAAAGGATTCATTTGCTGCTTTATTAGGGTGCTGCTGCTTAGGAGAATGATTAATCATGGTTTGACTGTAAATTGATAATTGTTTATAAGATTCATAATATATGATCATCCTGCAATTTATTTTCTATTTATAAGTTTTTAATGTGTTAATCCTCACAAAAATTAATTTAATTATATTTCTATATTAATGTTATGTAAGATTTCAATAAGACTTCTTGCTGTCATAAGATGCAAAGTAGTTTTTTTTATGATTTGCTTTTTTTTATTTTCATGTTTTAATGCATTCTTTTAGTATTTTTAGTAATCTCTCATAATCAATGTAAATATATGTTTGAAAGAAATTGATAAAAATAACATACGTTTATAGCCTAATACTTAATTTCTATACATATATAAGATATTACAGAATATTTATATATATTTTAGGAAAGTAAATCTTTAGTCGCAACATCAGAGGCACAGGTACGAGCAATGGCGGCATCTCGCTTAGGAATACCCCTCACATCACATATGCTTCAATCATCGTTGCCATTTTATCCAGCCTTACCAGGTATTTTGAATTTTTTTTTTAGTTTTTTCCCTAGTAATAGCAAAAAAAAAAAAAAAATATTTACAAAATTAATGAATCTGTTTTTGGAAATTTTATTTCTTTTTCAACATTCTGTTTATAAATGTCAAGTAACTGTTTAAGTAGAAGCTAATATTAGCACTAATGGAATGTTGTTTATCTAGTGAATGTTTCAAATGTTAAATAGCAGTTTAAATATATACTGATATTCCAAATACACATATTTTTTGACTAAAAATATTAATCTTAAAGTATTAGTTATAGTTATTTAAAAAAAAGTTTAAAAAAAAAATAATAAAAATGATTATTTTTAGTCATAGATGGTGAATTCACTCCAACTAGTCCAGTGTATATTGAACATAGAATGAAAGTATTAGAACAAGCACGCACATCAAACATTGCATTAGTACCAAATATATATCCACCAGGAACTGTCATAACTGACGCTCAAGTTGCCCAAGCTCGACTTCACAGGTAATGTTTGGAATATTTTATTTACTTTTAAATACACAGTGTGCTTTATCATCATCTCTAAAGCAAATTTTATATCGATATTTATTTATCTGTATATTCCAGATAATCAAAAATTACATATTTTACATCATATGGATGTAATATCTTTCTAACTAGTTTACACTCTTGATCATAAATCATACTTTGTATGGCAAGTTTATTTTTAAATCATCACTTTTGAGTAAAACATTCTACATATTTCATATTATAGAGTTTCTGAAAATAGCTTAGTCTCTAGTCGCGCGCGATCTTGCGACTTAATACGACGCGACGCACTAACGTCGCGGGTCATTTTGAATGACGTCATAGAATAAAAGTTGCCATTGTTTCCGGTGGAAGGCATTGCGTAAATTATGAGTTCAGAAATAATAATGTTTTCTAAAAGTATTCGAAATAATTTCGGAATATTCTGTGTAAAAACTATAACGTATATTTTTTATTCATGTAATAAAATATTTATTTGAGAGGCAAATATTCAATTATATTTATTTATTTAGATACGACTAAGTGCACATTGAAGACCAAGAAATCATCATTCATTTGGATTAGAATTCTTAAAATTTTAGTTAGTTCGTTTGTTAATTTTATGTGTAACACTGCCTTATGTTTTTTTAATTAACAGTAATTGCTTTGGTTAGTATTTCTGTAGCTTAACACTTTTTTCAATGCCTTTAATAATCAGGTTTGACTATTTTCTGAAATGTACCCATTAAAAAAAGTTATGCACCTAGATAGAATTGTTTGATTACTGCAAAACTCAGCATGCAGCTGTATCTTGGGCAAGTATGTAAATGATTGCAGTTATTGTCTTATTGTATGCCAAGTAATGCTACCAGAATGCCTTAAAATTGCTACTCCAGTATCCTATATAAAGGCTTGCAGAGGCTCACTATGTTCAGAATTTACAGAGTACTTATTTGGAGATCTTCAAATACTTTGCATGCTTATACAGTTCAGTCAAAGGCATTACACATGGTTGCTGAAGTTTGAGAAAGACCACATCATCTGGCTTGAGAGATCAGGATGGGTGTTGCCCAAATTGCCCATTATGACCTGACTGGAGATTTTTTGAGAGCAGTGGATATATGAAGGAATTTATATATACATAGTAGCAGGCTCTGGACCTCTCCGACAACCAGAAGAGATGATTTTTTGATCATGAAACAAGAACAAACAGCTTCAACAGCATCTTTGTCTACCTTCCAGAGACAGGTGAAATCCTTGCTACAGAATCCCATCTCGTATCATTTGTCAGTGCAACATCATTGGCTTTGTTTGCAGTGGTGCCATGTCAGAGAAGCATGGATTGCTACAGACTGACAGAATATTATCTTTAGGAGCAAATCCTGGTTCCTGTTTGAGAATGAACAAGTATTGTGTTAGTATGGAGGACCACTGGTGAGTGCTTGACTTTTGTCTTTACTATTTAGTGGTACTATCCCTGCTGCTGGAGTCTGGAGACCCTCTCATACTGGTCACCTATAATAGTGGTGCAAGGTACAGATTGTACAGATATCCTGCCCTGATGTTACCTTTTCTACCAACCAACTAGGATTTTTCAGGAATATCTCTTCACATTAGTGCACTTCCTTGGCCTGCCCTGTCTTTACATTTGTCATCCAGTGAGCATTTATGGAATTAGATGGAATGCCAGCTTTGATTATCTATGAACATGAGAGATCTGGAATGGCATTGCAACATCTGTGGTAAAATCTGTTGCAGGATAGCATTTGGTGTCTGTATATCTTGTTCTTGACTGACTGGATGTATTTAGACAACAGGAAGGTACTAAAGGTTGTTTTAAATTGTATCATTGTTCTGTCAGAACTGTCTGTCTGCCAAGATATTGTAATCACTTATTACCATAATCATTACTTTTATACTAATAAAATTTCATTCAATTCCAACATCTTTGTTGATACATACTTTTTTGTCACTGAGTGTATTCTTTATTTTCTTCTTTAAGGATGATATTTTACTTTCTAATAATTTGTAAATTTTTATTTATTGTGACCAGAAAGTAAACAGTCATTTTATTAGCCTTTTTGTGTTCTTTTAACTCAAAATTTTGATTTTTTAATATGAAATGATTCAATTTATTTCTTCAATTATTTTCTTCAGAGCAGTTGCATACTATACATTAATATTTATCAAGATTTTTGGAATGTTAAGCTACAAATATTGAAATAAGTTTGCTTTAGAGTGAAGTACTACATAACTCAAGAAAGAGTTATATAATANCTTTAGTTCATGATAAAATTAAGACGTCAATAATTTTAATTACATTTACTGCTTCAAATTCTGTCAGATCAATAATGGATTCATTGTAATTTTGTTTTATTAAATAAAATATTTATTTCAAATAAAAGAAGTTTGAATTATCTTTATGTACAAATGCATTTGTTGAATCTCAAATAACAACAATTTTTCATAGACAAAATTAAAATCTATTAGGTTTATATTTAATTTAACAATGATAGACTTTGATATGCAATACAAAATTATTTAGTTATATTATTATTTTTCGATTAGAAATATTCACAGGCCACTTGGTAGGACTCAGTCAGCCCCTCTTCCTCTAGGCCATCCTATGCTCCAACCACAAAATCTTATTTTATCTCCTCAACAAAGTGAACAGTTATTAAGAGAAAAACAGCTTTTTGAACAACAGCAACAACACAATTTGCTCAAACAGGTAAAATATTTTCAAGTATTTTTATTTTAAGCATGATAAAATGTTTAAAAAAATCAATTCTAAAGGAAAAGCTATCATTTGTCAAATTTCATACTTTAATCATTTAACACTTAATGTTATTCTAGAATATAAAAATATGGTAAACTGACATTTCAGTATTTTGTTAATAATAATTGATAATTTATTGCACATTAGTTACATCAAGAATTTCTGAAATAGAAATGAACTAATTAAATTTTAATATGGAGATTTTTGGAATAATTAATATCTGGTGTATAGCAATAACTAAATTTTTAAAAATATTTATTCATTAAAAATTGATTTCTATTTTTTTAACATTGAAATGCCTGTCTTCATTCACAGGACCACTACTTTATATTAATGTGTATTTTGCATAAACAATAATAAATAAATCTGATGAACTAGAATTATTAACTCACACAACATTTTCATAGAAAAGATCTATTTACAAGTCATGAATGTACAATTATCTTGAATTTCATAAATATAACTAATTGGACTAATAATTTTTAATGAATCATTTTCAATGTATCTGTGACAAATTTTCAACCCCCCAAAAATTCCATATCAACCACTTTGGAGATTCCTGGTCTAGCCTGTAACTGATCAAAATAAAGTCATGCATTTGCCAGGATAACATTAATATTTAAAAATCAACAAACCTATTTCTCACATCCTTTCACACATCTCAGTGGATGAGTAGCCTCTAATGAAAGGTCAACTTCATCAGGAAAAGACAACTGTGTTCCTGAGGAGTGTGAAAGAACATAATTGAAGACATTGACTTATTTTTAAAAAAAACAGAAAAACCATAAAATTTGGATTAATTACTTTCGTAAATTATTTTCTTAATTTGACACATTAATTAAAATTTCAGAATTATAAAACAGTTGCAAATCATTGCTACTATTACAACTTTGATTAATTATCTGTATCATTAATCATAGCCAAATGGTGACAGTTTTAACTACTAATCTGATATTATTGGCTCAGATATTATAAGTCATTATATATTTTTTATAAAAATAATCTTAAAATAAATTAATAACAAAAAGTTATTACAAGATCTAAGTTATTACACGATAAAATTATAATTGATAATTTTTGTATAAAGTCCTATTTAGAATATAGGTAATTAATAATTAATTAATATTTTACTTATATTTAATTCATAACAGTAAAATCAAAATAATTGCATTCTTAAGTTAGTGGTGTTTATCATCATACATAAAAATGCATTTAAATAAGTAAAATTTTAATTCATTATTAAAAACAAAGTTTTTTACTATCTTTAGCACATACGTCAAACAGTTTTAACAAGAGCAGGTAGTAAAAGTCAAGTTGAAAATGTTGAAGAAGAAAATGAAGCAGTTATGGCACAAGAAATGAAAGACTCGTGTAATGAACAGCAAGTTTCTCCACCAGAAGTGATTGATTTGACTGATGGTAAAAGGAAAGATGATAATGGTGATGTAGATATTATTAAACAACATGAAACATTTTTTCAACAACAAAACTTGATGGAGCAACATACACCACAAATCAATGAAGGTAAAACTTACAATCAAAATACTAATTTATAGAATTTACTAACTATTCTCAAGAAATTAAACTAATTTGTTATATTTGTTACTAAAGTATTATTAAATATTACTAACAGCAATAAATAAAATTTTTTGTTAGTATGCAATGTATTAAGTTTTCTGAATGATTAACTGCACAACACCAGGATGTGTTGCCATTTTATCCAGCCTTACCAGGTATTTTGAATTTTTTTTTTAGTTTTTTCCCTAGTAATAGCAAAAAACAAAAAAAAATATTTACAAAATTAATGAATCTGTTTTTGGAAATTTTATTTCTTTTTCAACATTCTGTTTATAAATGTCAAGTAACTGTTTAAGTAGAAGCTAATATTAGCACTAATGGAATGTTGTTTATCTAGTGAATGTTTCAAATGTTAAATAGCAGTTTAAATATATACTGATATTCCAAATACACATATTTTTTGACTAAAAATATTAATCTTAAAGTATTAGTTATAGTTATTTAAAAAAAAGTTTAAAAAAAAAATAATAAAAATGATTATTTTTAGTCATAGATGGTGAATTCACTCCAACTAGTCCAGTGTATATTGAACATAGAATGAAAGTATTAGAACAAGCACGCACATCAAACATTGCATTAGTACCAAATATATATCCACCAGGAACTGTCATAACTGACGCTCAAGTTGCCCAAGCTCGACTTCACAGGTAATGTTTGGAATATTTTATTTACTTTTAAATACACAGTGTGCTTTATCATCATCTCTAAAGCAAATTTTATATCGATATTTATTTATCTGTATATTCCAGATAATCAAAAATTACATATTTTACATCATATGGATGTAATATCTTTCTAACTAGTTTACACTCTTGATCATAAATCATACTTTGTATGGCAAGTTTATTTTTAAATCATCACTTTTGAGTAAAACATTCTACATATTTCATATTATAGAGTTTCTGAAANAAATAAGATAAAAAATAAGTAGAAATTGAATAATAAAACAATTAATTTTAGATAACTTATTATTCTAAAATATTGAAATTGAATATTTAAGGAACTGCATTTACATCTCGGATACATACAGCTCGACCACTGTCTCGTGCTCTTTCCAGTCCTCTTGTTGCTTTAAGTCCAGTAGGAAGTCCTCCTGATAATTCTGTTACAACAAGACATACATTTACAACTGGTAAGATTGTAGATATTGTAAAGAATTAAATTTTGTATAAATGTCTAAATTAGTCTAATTTTTAGTTTTAGATTAATACTTTAATCATTACCTTTTCAGGTGTTGTTTATGATAGTTTAATGCTGAAACATCAGTGTATTTGTGGGAATAATTCACATCATCCTGAACATGGTGGAAGATTACAAAGTATATGGGCAAGGTTACAAGAAACAGGTTTAATTTCACGATGTGAAGTAAGTTTGAAATGATTGTTGTGTGCTTTGATAACATTTGAAGTTTATTATAAACATTTCAATAATTTTTTAAAATAACTTATCATATAAATTAACAATAACTACTTGTCTGATGTATTATATAAGTGCATACATTTCTTTGTTGAACATTAATGTTTAAATATTACAACAGCTGAATATAGCAAAATTTTGTCAACAGTTATTAAAAAGAAATATCTTATTCATTACACATGTGCAAGGTATTAAAACATATTTTCTGATAGCTGCCAATGATTAAATCATCTAGACTGCAGAAAACATGATTGAAAAGTAATGGATGTAAATTTGAGAATTTATACAACACTGAAATATTAAACATTAATTTAATGTAATGTAAGTTGATGACCTTGACCTATATAAAACAAGTAGATAATCATGGGGGAAAAAATGCAAAAATTTAATTAATACAAAGTATTTGTGGAAAATTCAACTGCATAAAATTTTTTTGCAGTTGAATTTTTTCAAATTTTGCTATAAATATTAATTTGCATACATAATATATATATAATATGTACCTAGTATACAGCAGTTTTGCCATCCATCAAGCATGATGTATTGGTCCCGGGGCACACCAATGAATCCTCACAGGTGGTTTGTTCAGAACAATCATTATGAGCTGTATTAGCTCATTGTAATCATCGCAAACTTGTTTTTTTCCAGCTACAGAAGTTGTAAGACTCTCAAGAGTGTTTTCAGCAAACTGTTCCATGCTAATATTGGAGTCAAGACAATCATAGTGCTCTTTTGGAAATGTATCCCAAACATCGCTGAATCTCTTGAATAATGGAATCATAGGAGAGCTTGATGGCCCAAAGCACAGTGTAAATATTTTTGAAAACATTATTTCAAATGTGATGACGACAAGCAAACCATAAAAGATCATGGCCCGTCTTTGCTTCTAGGAGAGTGCACACTTTTTTATTGGCATCGGTGTTAGAGGCAGTAGTGTCAAAACTTATAGCTCGGACTTTATTTGTGACATTCCACTGTTCCATTGTGTCAAAAACAGCATCGGACGTGTTTTTCCCTGTTCATGCAGTAAGTTTGGGTACGCCTAATAGTTTTTCACAACCATTACCGGAGACAAGAATCAGAAGGTGCTCTACTTTCTTATTACCTATTATATCAGGCAGTATTTTCCCATCCCAATGTATTACAAGTGGATAAGTTGGGTCAAATGTTTCTTTTATATTCACATTGAATTCTGTCACGTCGAATTGTGCTTTGAGAGATTGGAAGTGAAGTGGGATTACAACCAAGTGTGGCAGACAATGGAATAATCAGCCCATTGCTTCTCAGTCAGTTATTTTGTTATGATCAAGAGTGCTGGTAACATGTTGTGTAAATATACCACTAGTCGATGGTACAACGTCACTGGCTCTGGTAGTGCTCTGTGTCTTTTTTGGTAAAGCAACCACAAAATCATCATCTTGCTTATCTTTTAAAGTGCTAGCGGCATTAGAAGTGCTACTGAAGCTGAAATCAAGTTGTAGTTCTTGACTTGACAGTACTGAAGTCGAAGCATTACTTTTAGTGGCCTTTTCTCTTAATTCTTCAGCTCTTTGTTTTCGTTTTAGAAAATGTTCTTTGGTCTTTTCCAGCTTCTTGTCAATCAGTGTCATAATCATCTTATGCTCACCTCTTTGATCAATAAGAAACTCTGCTTTTTGCACTTTTAATTGAGTTCATGGCGTTTGCATGGGCAATATCAAAAAGTTTGTCTAGCTCTTCTGTAAACAAATGCTCTCTAATTTTCTGTGCTTCCGAATCTCTTGTTTTATTTTTCTTTAAAAGCAGCCATTCCTTATGAATTTTTATAAGTTTTTCAATGCAGTGATTTGGTTGTCTGGTCGGAATACCAGATTTGCTCCACACCTCTATGACTTATTGAATGAGCATATGCGCAGAATTTTTCACATTTTTTGATTTATTTAATGTGTGGTGATAACGAAGTAGAACTTGTTGAAAAGTTGGAAGTTGGTTAATCCTTACCAATGGCTCAAGATCCTGACATCCAAGTAGAAAAATGTTGTCGTTTTTTGAGTTGATAAACTCATTTTAATGCACTGATTCACTCATAGTCTAGTAAATAAGTACCAAAGTTTTTTATGTTTATCTATAAAACTCTTTAACAGTTGTATTTAAAAGTAGATTCGATTAATTTAACACATGAAACTAACCTGTAACAAAAAATCAAGATCAAGCATTTTTCACAAAAATTTTAAAAACAGCACTCAATTGAGTGCCCTTTTCTGCTAAAGCTAGCCATCTGAAATTATACAATGTTATTGCTATGGATACATGTTACAAATTTACGGGATGGCCAAACTGAAAAACAAAAAAAAAAAATTTTATGAACCACCCTAATACATATACGTATGAATTTATAAAATTAAAGATCTTATAATAAATGCAATTAATATTTTTTACTTTAATATTGAATCAAACAGTAATTGAAATATTAATAATTTATTTTTTTATTAAATCATTCTTATCCTAAATATACTATTTTTAAGAATTTTAAAAAGTTTTGCTATTTGCTTAATTATGCTTTATGGAAAGTTGCACATGCAATGAAAATATCAGATTGAAGAAATTAAAACTTAATATTAGAAAGATATTAAGTTACAAAATACCAGAATATTCCAAACTTTAAAGACTATTTACAGTATTATTTATTTTTGGTTTAAATGTATTTGATGTAAAAAAATCAATTTTAACTTAAATATTTTTATTATGAAATCAATTTTATTCTTGAAGTTTCATTATTGTATATATTTAACATTAAAGTCTTTACCAATAGCTACAAGAACAAAAGTAACTTTAAAAATTATAATTTATTTAACTTTTAAAGTATAAAAATAATGAAAATTTTTATAATAAGAATTGAAACAATAAATAATTTTGATGAAGTAAATTTATTTGTTTGTTTATTTTTTCCAGAGAATAAGGTCCAGAAAAGCAACCTTAGAAGAAATTCAATCTTGCCATAGGTGAATTAAATTTGTTAAATTTCTTTAATCCATTTTTAAGGATTTTTAAAACCTTAAAAGTGAAAGAATTCTTATTTTAAGAAATTAATAAGTTGTTATGAAATAAAAATAAAGAACTATATCTAAAGTGAACTTAATTTTTAAAAATTAGAATATTTCTTTTAATGAAACTAGATTAGTGGTCATTTGTAATAATTAAATTACATTTTAATTTTATTATTACAATTTTCATCAACTGTCAAATCTTGTATTCATTTTAATATCTTAAATATTTAACAAACAATAATAAACAGCCAAAATAATGTTTATTTTAGTTTAAAATGTTATTTTTAATTTTCATTTTCTGCTTAGTTTAAATATTATTTTATATTTTAAATTTATTTCTTTTTGAATTATTATTTCATAAATGAGTAAATTAAAAGTTCATAAATTTATAAAAGTTACCATATAAAAAAAAACCTTAAATATATTATTGACAAGACTACGTCTTGTTTATAAAATTGTACTGCCATTTTATGTTACCAGTATAGAGGTATGAAGGAGTACATGTCGAGAGTTTATATTTGGCACAGAGTATTAGGTGCCCAAATCATTTGCGCATAAAAAATCCAGACTTGTAGGTAGTCAGGCGACCGAAAACCAAGTCAAAATAAAATACAAAATGACGACCTTCTTCTACAAACAGGCACCCATCGAAGTCAGGTGGGGGAGAGTACCACCCACAGTCATTCTAAGAAGTGAACTCTGACCTTAGGACTGAACGCGTAGTTTCTTCTATGTTAAATAAAATTTGTAATCTAATTTTGTAAATTTGGGAGTGCTTCAAATATGATGTTAAAACAGTTTTATGTCGTTACAAGTGGGTTTTTTTTAACATTATTTAGTATAGTAAATTGTGGGACCAATAAAAATTTGATGTTATATTAGGGTCGTCGTTACATCCAATGATGTTATAATTGGGTTAAACTGTATATTGTTTGTGCAAAATAAAAAATTTCAGATGATACAATAGCCATGATTATTTTTTCAAAAACAGGAAATTTTCATTATTCAACCCGGGGCCGACATGCAATGGAGAGAAATTTCAAAATTGGTTAGGTTAATTTCATTGAAAATGCCTCATGGACGACCTCATGGTCATGGCCAGCAAAGTTTAAACAATCGTGCCAAAAAGCAGCAATACCAAAGAAGATTGGAGAATAAGAACGAGACCCGCCTTGAGTGTCAAAGTGATTCCACTTAGTAGTGAGTCTCCAATACATAGTCTTGGCAAAACATGGTTTTGCCATTTTAATTGTTAACGATTTTAAATCTACTATATAAAGCTGAAAAACTAGGTTATATCATGGTATGCCAAAAGTGGCCACTAGGGATGCCCTAGCTATTATTTAAATTAACAATAAATTCAGTATATTATTATTTGATGCGGTTTCTTGCGTTTTTGGCTATGTTTTAGTAGGGTATGCCATAAGAAATTCGGTATATTATTATTTTTATTTATAATAGGAATTTATTATATCACGGAATGACACCACTGATGCTAGAACACCCACTAGGGGTTACTAGAATAGAAGAATTAGAAGTACGAAATAATCTAATATTCTTAATCTTTGTTGTTGTTTTTTGCCCGAGCAACACCGGCTCATCTGCTGGTCAAATTATAAAAATTAAAACTAAAATTGAGCTAAGTAGAAACCAAAAGAAAATTAGTAAATTGTTAAAATCAGATTTTTATTTTATATCAGTTAAACTGGAATTTAAAAGGTGTGGATTTTTGACTATGCATACAGTATCATTTCCTCCAGTTGTTTACAGATATTTTTGATATTAATTAAATTTTCTTCACAGCTTATCTGTTATCTGTTTGTTTATGTAACTTTAAGAGTAAACTTTTGATTTGTTTTTATATATAAACATGTACACACACACACACACACACACACACACACACACACACACACACA